CTATACTCGCACAGGGCAAATGTAATTTTTTGGAACAGAATTTGTTTGGTCTATTTCTCATACTTGATCGCTTTCCCGCCGTTTTTAAAAACCAGGCTGCTCAGGTCTAATTCTGAAGCATGCCGCAAATGCAATTTCTTTTCAGTGAAAAAAGAAAGCAAATTTTGTTTGGTGTGACGGTATTTCTGCTGTTTCATGTATTCAACTTCCCATGGCCGTTCTACGATGGGCCGCTAGACTATATCGCTGAAGGTTAGAAAACTGTATGCAATCTTGTAACATGATCAGTAGGTGGATGGCTTGGTTCTGAAAGGATTTTCGAAGGTGCACAACTCACGCTTAGCCTTTATATTATTCTTCTGCCAAAATTCTGGGGTTCCATGCCACGCAACACCACTACAGTAATCCAGCGTCAAAACACTGAAAACGTTTCTATTTGGATTTTGAAGCTCGTTTCAACCAATTTTCACTGAGCGCTTATGTTCTCGGAGGAGGGGAGATTTTAGGGCTTTGCAAATGGGCATTCATAATCTTGGCACGAACTTTTTCCCTGAGCGTACGATACACGTAATGGTTATTTTTACAAGAAGGATTCGCTTTTTGGTGTGCTACTTTGTCGGCGAAAGAAGGTGGAAGAATCTAAGGTCCCTCCCCGATCTCCAGCTACTCTCAATTGTTTCCTTTCCACAGTTCCTTGATTTTTTTTGGAACAAGTCGAGACAGCCATCCTAGAATAAGCCGCTGTTACTCGCTAGGCGAAGAAAAGAAAACCTTAAAAATTAGCAAGAATTCATGCATGAAAGAAAACTTTGTCGCGCTTCCGCTTTACCTCGACTAACACTGTGTGCTAAGCTCCTTCGACAACATATAACAACATAATTGGCCGCACCTCTCCCATCGTGCCGTTCCTGATCGCAACTTATCGATCATCCTTCACCCTAATTCATTTTTTTCTGAGTTTAGCTCTGGTAGCACTTACAATTCGCGTGCGCGATGACATCCTTCTTGCAACTTAAGCCCTTAGCGATCGTTTAAACAGGAACACTTTATCTGGCGCGAGGCCTACATTGGCTTGATGAACAGCTGCCCAAGCAGAATTTATTTCATTTCCAAAAAATGGTTTATTCCTGCTTGAATTTTATATTTCGGTGCAATTCATAGGGCTCTGACGATGAGGTGGCTTCAAGAATGTTTTCGCGGTCGTGTGGAGTTGTTGTGTCCTTCAGGAGCCCTTTGAAACATTTGCTGAAATGAATGCGATAGCAGCTCTTGTGGTCTCCGTTGCGTTGTGGTGGTATGTACTGGATGGTGTGAAGGAGCAACTGTGAGCCTACCGACCACCTGAAAAGGGGGAGCAACGCAAGGGGAAATCAAACTAGCGTACTTCCTTAACACGTTGACGACAGGCTGACGCGCATGCGCGTCAGAATTTTGCACCGCATCGGACATTCTGACGCGCATGCGCGTCAGAACTATGTCATTCATTTTTATGTGCTTGCGCTCCTTCTTCTCGAGTTTTTTATTCATTCTATAGATAATACATTAGCATAACTATAAACCACATGGCAGCCAGAGTGGTCAAATATCCCTTGATTTAGCAAAGATTTTCTGAACGCACAAAACTTTCATTTCAATTCTTTCCTAGTATTCCTTTCACTGTCGTAAACATTCATATGAAAGATTGTAGAAGCAGTTAATACAAAACTCTGTGAGTTTCAAGATATTTGTATTTGATGGAAGAACTTAGGTATAAATGCTTTTAACTTCATTCGCAGCGAAAGTGATGTTTTTTGCTTCTTCGTGGTCATTATGCGTTCTTCTAAACAAAAATCTACTGCTATTTATATAGTTAACCTTTATGCTTTCATCCTTGCCGAAATAATTCTATGAGATTCAAGTTGTTGTGCATTTTAAACAAAAATAAGCGGAAGTAAGGTGAGG